TACACGTGGTCCAGAGTGCATATCCGGGGAAGAAAAAAACTGCAATGCCAAGAGAACTCCCTCGTTTTCATGAACACCGTTCTTAAGGAGGAGACACTGACACATGGCAGAATCTCTGAAGTCTAAAGATGAGACTCAGAGTAAAAGACAGAGTGTTTTCTCTCTGCATCAGTGGCTGAATTGGTGTCGACTGATTTGACACTGGATTTACAGATAGCTCCAACATGTGCTCAAGATGGACATGAATTTACCAGACAAGAGCATGAAATCTTCCTCTGTCAACTTTCACAAGCCTGCACTGGATGTTACAATCTCCACTCAGGTAGTTTCCAGTTCTCTGTACCAGCATCCTTGTAGTTAGGCCAAACCTTTTTGAGTCTGAGAAATCAAGCGACTTTCTACTTTATACTTCTGGGAGTCCCTTACTAAGCTACTTTTGTGGTCAATAAAATATTACATTATTGTCTGGGACTATGACAGAATAAATAGGTTATATTATTCAACAGCAAAATCTTCTCAAAGCAATGGAGATGTAACTGAATAGACACATCATTCTTTAGCTTGTAGAACACCTGAACATGTAGTTGTTTGCTGACGTTTTCTTCCACTTGATTTTGACAATCCAAACCATAGTTTGGTTACTATCTGGCCTCCCAAGCCAGCTGACCACTATGGTGAGGAGGTACTGCTGACCCTGACATATTTCCTTTCTCCAGTGTTTTTTTGACTTGCAAACTGCACTGTAAAGCATACTATGGGAGGAGGAAATGCTTCTCTCCAGGCCTGTTGTTCCCTCATCTGAGACAAGATCATGTAACGGTTAAGACAGTAGGCTGAGGTTACTTCGGTTGGCATTAAATCCATTACCCAATGAAGTAATATTGTGACTTTGGCATATCATGTAATCATACTAAGCCTTAGTTTTCTGATCTGTAAAATGGACTTAATAATACTAATTACTACCAAAGATGTGTAAACTGATTGGGTTGGGGTGTAATCTGCGGAGTTGATGAGGAGGGTTTCTGGCCATATAGGCCTTAAGCAATGCATATCCCTTGCAGGGATGAGACTTTGTTCATGATAGAGATCATCTACCTTCACAGCAACTTTCCATTATTCCTGGGGGGAAAAAATTAAAACTATTTTTGCAGTACTCTTGTCTCTGAGTGCACACTAGTGCCCTGTACATGGCAGCTAAGCTCTTTTTCAGCATGCATGATAACTGGCACCCTAGCACACTGATTCTACCTGGCACTCAGCTCTTCTAGCATCTCCCTCAAATTATGCAAATGAAGAAGAAACTTTCCCCAAAGTTTGACTCTTCTTTCTGAGTGGCAATAGCTGGGGTGCTCCAACTCTTATCAGAAACGTTCACGCCACATGAACAGCTTGTCTGGGTGAAGTGGGGATCCACAGCTCTTGGAAGGAATTCTCTATTCATTTTGAAAGGTATGTTGCCATCGTCCTCTACAGTAAGGGCACAGTGGCACACTTGAAAAACTACAGCACTGATTTCTTCTCCTTCACTTTCAAAAGCTCTGAACCATTTCTAACTGCTCTGAATCCTTTGCAGTATCTCTGAACCATTTCATGGGTGATGTGGATTGCAGTCATTATAAACCACACAAGAAGGTGCTATGTGAAAAAGGAAAGTTACTAATACTGTAAGTTGATTTTATTTTCAGCTGCCTCACCATCCTGTCTCTTGTCAAGAATCACTTTGTATGCATTTCATCCTAGCTTCACTGCAACTTCTGCATTGTTGCAGATTCTGGTTACTACCTCTCTTCAAGGCAAATTTTTGCAAGGACAACTGAAAGGAGAACTCTGGCATTCTAACTGTAATATCTCAGCCAAAAAAATTAGAAAATAAATTTCTCCCTTTAGAGTCCCATTACTATGGGTAACAATGTTGCTTAAATCATCCTCAGAATCATCGCCACAAAAGTCGCTTAGTAAGGGACGCCTCATGTGACTGCACATATGAGGTCTATTCAATCATACCTCTACCCATATTGCTTAGTTTTGACCAAATCTGAAGTAATGAGACTAACAGTTGGCCTCCACGGTTGCCTCCTGTGCAAATACATACTAAGCGCAATGATGTCAATGTGCCGAAATAGTTCAGGGTACCTAAATGCTTTACAAACAACCACGTGCCACCGTATCTCGCCTTCTCACCTTGGGGCTGTGTGGCTACCTGTAATGAGTGATGAATGAATGGAAGCAAAGGTTCCACTTCTGAGCCCAGCAGGTGAGAGCTCTCCTGATCAATTTCTCTCTCCCTGCTGCAGCATTTTGGGAGACAAATACTGCAGGAAAAGGAGCCACATGGAGGAGGAGAGCCCAGCCCTGTGAGACTTCCTGTCAGTGAGAACACACCTTCCTGTGTCCTTAGGCTGCCGGTCAGCTGCAGCTACACTCGGTACAGCACGCCCCGAAATAACAAGGCTGGCCAGTGGACTTCAGAGGTGTTTCCCCGGGGGAGGGTGGGCACGGGGGCCCGGCTTTCCCCTACATACATATGTGGGCGCGTCCTCCTCTGGATCCTGCCTTTGCCCCATGAGAAGTGTCACCCAAACCAACTTCATTAACATTATAGTCGCCCTTCCCTTCTTGGACCCAAGTGCTTCTGCTCAGTTGGTTAACCTACATTTATTCTATATTCAGCTCTACACAGATGACTTGCGGCTATTTATAGGCTACTCTGCACAACCGAGATCATTCAGAAGAATGAACTCCAGAAGGAAAGGCCATCACTTCTTTTCAAGTACTGTTGTATGCAAGGAAAAATGAATGGACTTTGTCTACAGCTACACAGTGTGATTACAATTAAGGAAAAACACTGACTTAGAGCTGTAAATAGATTTTCTTTATTAAATCTTCTTTTTAGGCACTCCAGGACGCAGAATACAATTTCTCTTCTTCCCAGAGTTCAGATCTCATAACATTACACCAAATACCTGCGTGTTCGCTGAGCCAGGCACCAGGACGAGCGTCTCCCAGTGTACACAGAATCCACACGCAGGCTCAGCTACACCTTTCTGAACTGTGTGTTGCGGACAAAGAAAGTGAATTCTCAGAGGAGTCTTCCTCTAGGGCAGTGCTGCCTCCCCCAGGGCACTTTGTAGACGTGTTCCCCGTAACCTGCCAGTCCCAATGCACTTCTAATACCATTAATGCAAGCGTATCTCTGCAAACACCAAATACGTATCTGTGTTTGACACACAAAACATGTCAGTTTCACCTTCCCAGAACCAGCTGTCACCCTCTGCGCGCAGTAAGAACGCACGTATGCGGACCACAACGGTGCAGGGCCCGGGCCCGTCTTCCTCCTGAACCAGAGCGCTGCACTCTCTCTCTGACCTTTCCTGCACCTTAGTTCTTCCAGGCTCTTTGGTCATCATCCGCGCAGGGCACACATCCCCCAGGCAATATACCAGAGGGTTCCTGCTCAGGCCCTTGTGCGCCACACTCTGTTCCCATATGTCTGTCGCTCCTGGGACCCCGAACCACGTGACTGGGTGGGGAGCAGGCCAGCCTTTCCCTCACCAACTTCCTCCCGCCACACTTCCAGACCTTCACTCCTGCCCTCACATACTGCTGTGAGGACATCCTCCACAGAGCTTTCCTGACAGCAGTCTCCTGTCCAGGAAGAGCTACAGCCCTACTTGAACTTTTCCTTATCCAAGCTCCTCCATTCTCTTTTATATTCCCCCGTCTGTCTCTCCTAATGAACGGAGAGGGTAAGAGGGCTCGCCGCCACCTCAGCTACCCCAGCACAATGCAAGGCAGGAACGCTCAGCACCGCCTGTGTGGCAGGAGGCTGCACATGGTCCACGCCCACCCGCAGCACAAGAGCTTTCTAGTTTCTTCAATCACAGGGCACTCAGTGGAACCTCCTACACTGGTCACCTTTCTGGGCCTTGCTGGTCCCTTGGGAAACCACCCCTTGGCCCGCTTTCACTTCACAGTTTGGATGGCAATGGCAATGACCCCGGTTCTGGGCTCCAGAGCTATGCAGAAAACCCAGGTCTGACAAGCACGTTCCAGCCTCTGGCCGCCAAAAGACTCTGGGGTTGGAGGAATAGCTAAAGTCGGTTATCAGAGACGCCATCCTGGGACTCAACTGGAAATGTTAGGGAAGGAAAACCCCTGTCCATGGGAGTGGCCGAGAAACCACTACATGAAAATAGGGGCCTTGGCTGACAGGAAAGCGGCGCATACAGCAGGCCCCGGAGATGGACCACCCAGC